GATTTCAGTTGCAGCTGGTGTGCCAGATAAAACAAGCCCTTACCGTTTTGGTTGTTCTTTTTCTTTGTGGTCTCCAGTGCAGTCAGTTTTAGTCAACGTTGCCAGGCCTAACTCGCTTACTTCACATGGGGCCTCATACGCGTTTAGCGTTTGTGGGAAGATGGAATAGTCGCACCGCCCGTACGCCTTGCGGGAGAAACCAGTATGTCGGTTTTCGGTTTTGTGCACCTTGAAATTGCTCGCAACATCCAAGGTCGTTTTGTATCCCCACCCCAAGGTCACGCTCCTGTGAGTCGATCGTTATAACATGGTCTCCCAGCCTATATGTGCTATTTGGCTCGTGGCGCGCATATACAATTTTGCATTTGTTCGCGCTGAACGGAAGTAGATTAGTCCTTGACCCACGAAAAGTACGGTCGAAGTCTCGTTGCAGCAGTTTGCGGTCTTCCTGATCACTGGGCATATCTTGATGCCATAAGCAATATGCAGGAGATTGCACTCGTTGATACACCGGATCTCGTTACTGAAGACCAAGAATATGCGTGGCTCCAACACTGATCATCGCGGAACCCGCCGTTCACCTCCATTGGATCGGCGACCTAAACGCCATGGGTTGTTCTATCTCTACCTAATACAATACATGCCTGCTTACACGTATTGCATTTATGGGTACCCGAAATGCTTCAGGAGTCATGTTTTCTCTTATCGAGTCAGTTGTGCATTTCTTGGCACCCCAACTGGATGGTCTATTCAATAGTCACAACAGGTTCACAATGGATGGATATCTGTTAAAATTTCCCAGGTAGGTTTTCGAGGTGTTCGATCAATTAAATATGTTAGGAAGACAGAAGTTGACAATCGGATGAAAGTGGTTATTGCAAAAATTTCAAGTGAAGTGATACGGCTATCCTTGGAACCCTTCTCCTGCGTACCTGCTTCCATGCGGAATAGTCCCTCAAAGTGTTTTATCCGCACTTCCACGCCCCATCTGGCCTTATGCCGATGTGGCATAATAGCACGTAAACCATCATCGTGTTAGCTCATCTCCTTGGCCATTGCTATGTATGGAGAGAAATAGGTTTCAAGTGAGAAACTTTTTTTCTCTTTTGAACCGTTCATCCCGTTTCAACGTCCGGCTCTTTCGAGCCTGGCGCTATTGTTACTCGCCAGCAGGTTTGTGGCAATTCGCCCTGGGTCGGTGTATTGATTGCTTCAAAAGCTTCACCTCAGAGGATCAACGCATTTCTCAGAGGGCGCAGGTCGATGACCATCTAACTAACTGGTATCCCTCTACTAGCGAAGTACCCCAACGTACGGTGCTGGTGCCCACTCTGTTCCTAATCTACAACAACGATCTACTTCAGCTTCTTCGATCGTGGTGTGTTATGTTTGCGGACGACCTGAAGATTTGGAGAGTAATTAGCATTTCAGACGACTGTAGCCTACTTTAGCAGGACCTCAACCGCCTTTCCATGTGGTCTGCGCAAAGCCTTCTGCAGGTTAACCAATACAAGTCGGTACGTATGAACATGAGGAAGGGTGGTGACTGCCGAATTTACGCCGCTACATCCCACACCTTCCGTGAAGGACCTAGGTGTACTCTCACGCTGCGATTTGAAGTCGGTTGACAACAGGAACAGACTATATCGTAAGGGACTGCTTATGCTTTGGGCGATCACACGCAGCTTCTGTACTTGGTCTGAAGAAGTCGCCACTCGATACTTCTCTTTCATCACAAAACTAATTCATTACTTTATTATACACTTTGGCTACAGGGTGAAGACGCCTCAGCTATATGTCGCAGTACTATAAAAAAGCAAAAAACATGCAACAGAGGCACGCCGGCCGAGTCGTCAGTAATGGGTGGACATCGTTCCGGAGAGCCAGCAGCTGGCTATTGTGCCGCAAAAAGAAGCATTATTTTGAGTTCGTCGCCATCGTCCGACAATTCAGACAACTCGACTACCAATCCAGAAAAGCACCATATGGTCCAATATGACGAAACGGCCGTCTGGTGCTTTTCTGGAGTGGTAGTCGAGTTGTCTGAATTGTCGGCCGATGGCGCCGAACTAAAATACTCACCAAAATCCTTCTACTCATAAGTAAGAAGAATTATATTATGCATGTGAATTGGGATTATGGTTGGAGGAGGAGGCTAAACGGAAAGGAGAGGGACAAAGAAACTCACATCACAAACGTCATTGGGGTCATTTTCTAGCTCGTCCCCAACCAGGGAACTGAAAGGCTCCAACTGAGGCCAACTTCGAAGTAAGGACCTTCATTCCTCTTTACCAAATCATCGCTTGGCCACCTCTCCTCTTCTTCCATCCGCACTCCAGCGCGCAAACAACACACGTCGCGGGAGTCGGTGGACTAGCATGCGCAACACGTGGTCCGGTCATCGGAGCCTGGTGCTTGGAATAACTGTATTGAGCGGTTCACATCTTCTTCCTGAGCCACAAACAAGGCGTCGAACACACTCATTGCTCACGCGGTGTTCTCACCAGATATGAAACAAACTGCGAAGGCACCGGTAGTCGAACGTAACTAGCCTCTTTATGGCGGCCGATCTAATGGGCCAGATTTCACAACCGTACAGTAGGGTTGAGCGTACGGCGGCATTGCACACTCTACCCTTCAAGGAGAGAGTGTTGTCGCGCGGGCGCCATAGGTGGCGAAGGTTAACAGAAGCGCTTCGTGCTTTTGTGACTTCGTCTTCAATTCCAGCGGCGCTGATACAACTACCTAGGTAGTCGAACTTTTGAACGACTTCTAGCTGATCCCCAACAAGGGTCAGCGCAGGAGGTGGTCCTTGCCAATCTTGGAGGAAATCTGTGCACTTCAAAGGGTGCGAAGCATAGCCCG